CCACCGTGTTCCTGTCGGTGGGCGCCATCGAGGGCAGCCCTCCCAGTGCCGACTTGCCGTCCCTGCAACCCTCCCGCTCCATCGACGAGCGCCTTCTGGGCGCCGGCGCCACCCCAGGCCGCGACTTGCTGCTCCCTTCTCCTGTCTCCTCTCTGAAGCCATTGGTCAGCGGCCCAAGCCTTGGGCCCTCGGGCTCCACCTTCATCCACCCGCTCACCGGCAAGCCCTTGGACCCCAGCTCTCCGCTGGCCCTCGCACTGGCCGCCCGAGAACGGGCCCTTGCCTCACAGGTGCCCTCGCGGTCCCCCACGCCGGTCCACAGCCCTGACGCCGACCGTCCCGGACCCCTGTTTGTGGATGTGCAGGCTCGGGACACAGAGCGAGGGGCCCTGGCCTCGCCAGCCTTCTCTCCGCGGAGCCCGGCGTGGATTCCCGTGCCTGCTCGCAGGGAGGCAGAGAAGGCCCCCCGGGAGGAGCGAAAGTCACCAGAGGATAAGAAGTCCATGATTCTCAGCGTCTTGGACACGTCCCTGCAGCGACCAGCGGGTCTTATTGTTGTGCATGCCACCAGCAACGGGCAGGAGCCTAGCAGGCTGGGAGCTGAAGAGGAGCGCCCGGGTACTCCGGAGCTGGCCCCAGCCCCCATGCAGACGGCTGCTGTGGCAGAGCCCCTGCCCAGCCCGCGTGCACAGCCCCCTGGCGGTGCCCCAGCAGACTCTGGGCCAGGCCAGGGTAGCTCTGAGGAGGAGCCGGAGCTGGTGTTTGCTGTGAATTTGCCCCCTGCCCAGCTGTCCTCCAGTGATGAAGAGACCAGGGAGGAGCTGGCCCGCATTGGTCTGGTCCCCCCCCCTGAAGAGTTTGCCAATGGGATCCTGCTGGCTACTCCACCCCCTGGCCCGGGCCCCTCGCCCACCACGGTGCCCAGCCCGGCCTCAGGGAAGCCCAGCAGCGAGCCACCCCCCGCCCCAGAGTCAGCCGCTGATTCTGGGGTAGAGGAGGCTGACACTCGAAGCTCCAGTGACCCTCATCTGGAGACCACAAGCACCATTTCCACAGTGTCCAGCATGTCCACCCTGAGCTCAGAGAGCGGGGAGCTCACTGACACCCACACCTCCTTCGCTGATGGACACACTTTTCTACTCGAGAAGCCACCAGTGCCTCCCAAGCCCAAGCTCAAGTCCCCGCTGGGGAAGGGGCCGGTGACCTTCAGGGACCCGCTGCTGAAGCAGTCCTCGGACAGTGAGCTTATGGCCCAGCAGCACCATGCCGCCTCTGCCGGGCTGGCCTCTGCCGCCGGGCCTGCCCGCCCTCGCTACCTCTTCCAGAGAAGGTCCAAGCTATGGGGGGACCCCGTGGAGAGTCGGGGGCTCCCTGGGCCTGAAGACGACAAACCAACTGTGATCAGTGAGCTCAGCTCCCGCTTGCAGCAGCTGAACAAAGATACACGCTCCCTGGGGGAGGAACCAGTTGGCGGCCTGGGTGGCCTGCTGGACCCTGCCAAGAAGTCACCCATCGCAGCAGCTCGGTGAGCAGGGTGATGTGGGGAGGGAACTGTCCCTGTCTTCTGTTCCTGTTGTCCACCCATGGGCTCCCTTCTGTTTCTCATTCTGTCCCATTTCTCATCTGTCTGGGGCTTCCCACCCCCAGCCATCTACCTCTGTCTGGTCTTGCTTTGCTGTCTGAGATAGAAGGCTCTTAGGACTGTTGTTGCCTACATCCCTGTTAGTGCTGGTGGTGAAACTGGTACTTAGGAGACCCTCATGGTCCTTGACACTGTTGGGGAGCCCTCCTGGAGGTCCCCTGCCCTGCGGTTCCTGCAGGGTCTCGTTAGCTCCTGATCCAAGCTACCTTCACCATTAAGGATCTTTTCACGGTCCACATTGGAGCTCCAGCTCCCTCTCCCCAGTAATCTCGCTTTTCCTGTGTCTGCACCCCATGCTTCCTCTGTCCTCTCTGAGATGGTGTGGATGCCCAATCAGTCCCAAAGCTGCCTCCAGCTTTGCTTCATTTTGTGGCCCACAGTACACTGGCTCCTTTTCTTTTGGGAACTTACCATTTTCTCTTTTCTGCCTGGAAACATTTATCTCATGGTAACCTCTTTGAACCCCTTAGACACAGATTCTGGTGTATGATTTTTAAAGTGAGTGAGTAACATAGGTGGAACCTGGGTGTCGTGGCACATGCCTAAAATCCCAGCTGCCAGGGAGGCCAAGGGGAAGATTTAAAGTTCGAGGGCAGCCTGGGCAATATAGATAGACTGTTTCAAAAGAAAAGGGGCTGGAAATGTTGCTTGATGGCAGAGCACTTGCCTGGCATGTGCAAGGCTCTGTGTTCAATCCCCATTACTGGGGGGAAACATTAAGATAAGTGGAAGTCACACCGTGTGCCCTGTCACTGCTCTTTTCCATTTTCTTTCCTCTGTCTGTCTTGCCTCAGCTGTGGGGACCTGAGGGAGGTGCTGGCATGGGGAGAGCTGAGCAGGGGGCTGGATGCTGCTGAGGCTGTTGCTGCCCCTGGGCTGGTCCCTCTGGTTCTTCCTGGGGGAGCCCCTCCCCAAGGCTCCCCTGTGAGCTGCTGGATGCTGACAACAGCTGGCTGGCTGTGGCTAGTCTCTTGTTTGCCTTTCCCAAGCTGTTTTTGCCTCTGAGGTCTTCCCACCCCAGTTCAGGTGGAATACCACGTCCTGACTACTCTTTGTTGCCCTGAAGACCACCTTAGTGGGCCCTTCGTTGTTACCTGTGTCAGTAGAGTTCACAGAGTAGTGAGCAGTGCACAGTTTGAGGACTGCAGGTCTTAATAAGGCCCTTCCACTTCTTCTTTCAATTTAGGATCCAAAAGATAGTTTGAGAAGTTCATAGTGCCTCTCCTAAGAGGTCTGCCTCTAGCTCCTGTTACTGGGAGGGCTTGCTCTGAGCTTGCTTCTCTTTTAGCCTCTTCCATATTCTGCTCAATTTGAAAGCCTCTTCCCAGCAGTGCAGTATGAGATACCATTAGAGTGGGCACAGAGGGTGTGGACTAGTCAGGATGAGAGGCCAGGGTCCCAGGTTTCTGTGCAGGACCAGCTTCCTAAGAATGAGGGTCTCTGGAACAGCCTCCACCAGCCCTCTGTGCTCCCTCTGCGCTTCTCTCCCATCGACTCTGTTCCTTTCCACCTCTTGGTCTTGAAAGTCAGAGCCATTAAAGTACATAGCACACTGCCTGGCTGTCAATAAACACTTGTCAAGTGGATGAAAGAATGAAGCTAAATGCAAGTGCTATCTTTTGTGGTTTGTGTTCCAAGGAGGTGAGTTGGGGCAAATTCCATAAAAGGACAGGTACCGTGGCTCAGATCCATGGGTATCGAATGCCCACAGTTGGGATCAGGTGAGCCCAGTTCTCATTGGCTCTGGCTCCCATTGAGCAGCTGGGCAGTTGCAGTGCAGTATCCAGGTGATCCTCGTGGGATCCTTAGACTCACCCTCCCATTGTGGTCTGTGGCATTCACCTTGGTTGAGGTGAAGTTCTCTTAGTCTGTGGCTCTGTGCTTCATCAGTATGCTGCAGAGAGGGCAAGAGCAGAACTCTGACCTTTTCATCTACCTGCAGGCCCCTGGAGAGTGAGCTGCTTTTGCTTGGTGGTTTGTGCAAAATTCTAGCATCTTCTTGGCTTCCTGTAGCCTTGCTTTTTCAGACCTGTCATTGGGGTCATTGGCCAGGGGTGAGCTGGGGGTGGGACCAGCCTGTCTGGAAAAATAGAAGCTTTGTGTGGCAGGAGGTGCTCTCTAGAGAAGCTAGGTGTTGGACAGCCTGAAACAGCTGATGTCCCTTATGATGGCACTTTTGCCAGCCTTAACGGCCTACTTCTTTGCTTGATTTCAGCCCCCAGCGGGTCACAGCTCAGTTCTGTTTTCTTGGTTAGGTCACTTCTGTCCCTCCCTTGTGAAGTGGTAGCATAATGAATGGACCTCAAGCTGTCAGGAGGAGGGCATACCATATCACCAGTCATGCATGTGTGAACTGGCATTATCTTCATTGTCACCAACACACAGGCCTTACAAATGCTTAGGTTAAGCTTGAGATTCCTTTATGGGAAAGTAAACACGCTACGTATGATACTAGAGAATGTCACATGTGTTATTTTCACAACCATTCCATTAGAGGAACAATGATATAATCTCCATTTTTCAGACAATAAATCTGAGCTTCCAAAGAGTCATTCTGCCCAGTAAGTGGTAGTGTATCTAACCCCAGGCCCATTTTCTGTCTGCTGTAACCTGGAAACTGTGTCCTTCGACTTCTTAATGACATATGCTGGATTTATGTTCAGCAATGTCTTGCACAGAAATGGCAGACATGTTTGCTGTACAGCATAGACTCACATGCATGTATTTATCAGGCATGTGCATAATATCTCCAGTGCCCCCTCACCAAGCTGTACTGGAAAACCCTTCTGCCCTATGCCTCCTTACCCCCATGCCTGTACATCTACTGTTCTGATCCCTTTGCTTCTACTGCTTAGGGTTCTTGTCCTCAGACTTGGGTAAATCATAGCTCTGTGGAGTGGGAACCACTGTCCACAGCAGCTCCTTTGTTTCTGGCTACTGTATGCCTGGGGCCATGTCTGTGTCCAGTCTTGTTTCTAAATGGTCTTTTGTGGGGCCTACCATATCTGGGGTACCCATTGGGCCTGTGTAGCAGCTCTTGACCTGTAACCAGTGGTGACTGGAATCTGGTACTTACTGCTCACTTTTCACTTTAGAGAAATGTCCAAAGGGTGAGAAGTTCTGATATCCAGGCATGGCTGCTTCCTTTCCAAGTCCCATCCTGGCAGAGGCCTAGGGCGTCAGCAACTGCTGATGTCCAACACTGCTGGCCTTCCCACACTTCCGCCATCTACCTGTTCCCTGCCCTCAGCTTGCAGGTTCAGCTCTCACAGACCATTGTCTACTCAGGTCCCCACACCGGACTCTGAGGGTGCCTTTGTGCCTTGGTTCAACCCTGACTCTGAGCTCCCCAATGGCCTCTGCTTGTCTGTCTAGAGGTCCACACCTGTCTCTGATCTCTGTTCCTCTTCCAGGGTCCTTGTTTAACCTGAATCCTACTTGTGGTCCAATGCTCTTTTGGGCCTGGGATGTTAATTGTATGCTTGTAAAATCCTCACATCTAGTTTTATAGAAAAAGTTCATGGTGAATTAGCTTTTGAAACACAAGTTTAAAGAGATTCTTTGCTGCAGTATTTTTCAGAACTTTTGATGAGCTTATATGGCAGAGGGGACAGTGTGCTGTATTCTCCAGAGCTGTTGTGGAACTAATTGGACCTCACAGGAGGCCCACTCTCAAGATGGCTGAGGCCCTGCCTGTTAACTGTCTGGCAGTTCTGGATAAAGCCCTGTGTGTTTGGGCACTCAGACCTGCAGGTACCTTCGAGGCCATCTGGGCACTGTGGCCTGGGTGCACTGTGTTCCTGCAGTCCACGTGCAGGTGTTTCCAGAACCCTGGACTCCGCTGGGAGAACAGGAAGAGGTCCCAGAGGAAGGGACATGGGGATACCAGAGCATATCAAAGCTGGAGCCATGAACAGGCCTGGCTAGGGAGGTAGTGAGGGAGCGGCAGCAGTGACGAGAGGCTATCTGGTTCCGTACTTCCACTGAGGATTATTTACCTTAATGAGTCGCTGAGGAGAGGAGTCTGGAGGTAGAGCCAAGGAGTGGACTTTTCCTTGCCATTTTGGTGCCTCTTGGCCAACAGAGGTGGGCAAGCCCAGGGGAGATGCTGTATTATTAAATGATGATTTTTTTCCGATGCATGATGTATTCTTGGCTTTGTGCCGGGTCCCAGAAGTTAAGGAGAATGGCGAAGAAGTACGGTGAGGGGATAGGGTTATATGTGCTGCCGAAAGCAGGCACAGTGAGGGCTGAGGTATAGCTCAGTGTGGGGCTTTTTGCCTGTCTGAGGCCCTCATTAGACACCCAGTACTTTAAAAAAAAAAAGTGAGGTAAAAGGGCCTGAGACCATGAAAAGCCTAAACCAGGAGGTAAGGAGGCCCAGTTGATGCTAGGAGTTGGTGACACATCCCCTCTGAGTGAAAGAGAGAGGAGCTAATGGTGGCTCTCAGGCTTCCCCTGAAGACCGGGCCCTGAACGCGAGGGAGGGCTCAGAGACATGTTAGGAGACTCCAGGAGAGGGCTCAAGCTCAGAAGAGTCCAGCCTGGCCTCACGCGTGTCATTGCTGGGCACATGAGCTGCAGAAAAGGGGTAGGTTACATGGCCTGGAGAAAGTGTTGACTATGAAGGATGGAACTGAGAAATCTATCAGAGAAGAGGCCAAGGAATGCCTCCCAGGGAAATGGATGAGCAGGTCAGCAGAGGGGTCCTTGTTGGCAGCCTTGGTGATGGCCAGGGAGAGGGGAAGCCAGATGTCACAGGCTGGAGTCACTGGGGCCAGTGAGACAGGACACGACCCAGATACTGGGAAAGGTGGGGGCCGTGGATGCTGCACTGTGTGATTGTGACCCATCCTGTAGAGGGGGTGCTGAGGCTGCCAGTAGCCTGGTGTGAGGCAGCAGGTACTGTGAAGTGGGCAGGGAGGTGGTCAGACATCCAGGAGTGGTGAGGTCCAGAGATGGCGTGTAGAGATGGATGGAAATGCTTGGGCGTCAGGTCTGGACACTGCTGGGCTTCTGCCGTGAGGGTGGGCGGGCAGCACTGTCTGTGAGAAGAGAGTGAGGTGTGCATACCCAGGCACTTATAGCTGACTCCTGCCTGTGCTGTGGGCTTTGGAAGGCACATCCACCCTTGGGCTTTTCTCCAGGATTCCTGAGATCTCTAGTGTGTGTGGCAGGTGGTGGGTTCTTCTACTCCCAGCCCAATCGTGCCTCAGGATCCCAGGGCACTTCAGTCTAGGTCTCCAAGCCACCTGTACTAGGCAGGAGAGTTCACTGCCTGTTGTGCCCAGCTCAGACCTGCTGGACCCAGACCCTGCTCTCAGCCCTGGCCATCCTTCCCGACTGTAAGGCCCAGCAGCTACTTGTACCCACTGCCTTCACCGGTCAGCTTTTGTCCCAATCACTCAGCAGTATGCTTTTGTGTCACCCAAGACTGCAGGAATACCTGATGTCACACAGCAGCATGGAACTATACCCTCTGGGGTTGGTCCTGGCTAGGTGTCCGACCTGTGATGCAGCTCCCCAGGCCAGGGTCTGTGTGTAAATCTGGGGCTCGTGGTCTAGTCCTCTGTGGGTGTCCATAGTCTGGCCTCATAGGTGTGATTCCTTCATAGACTTAGTACCCCCCACGCCCAGCAGTCACCACCCCAAGGTACCCACCCTTGGGAACCCTGCTGCCACTTCACTGTGCCGTAAAGGGCAGGTGGTTCCTTGAGGCCAGGTTTCTTCTGGTGGTTTGTTTTTTCTTTTGGTAGTTTGACCCATAACCTCTGGTGGTGTTGGAACATGTTTGGAGCAGTTGGGAGGGGCTGCCAGTGAGGGATGGAAGCCAAGTGGGAGAAAGTGACCTCCAGAGAAGGGCTGCCCTTGCATAGCTGGGAGGTGAAGGACGAAACTGGTATGGGAGCAGTGCTGGAATTCTGCATGTCTAGGTCAGCACAGAGGTGGGCAGGGGCCCTGGAGGAGGGCTCCTTAGGCCAGTCTGAGCAGGGATGGCCACTGGTTGGAGAAAGGCCAGCCAGACAGCAGAGAGGATGTCAGGTACTCTGAACCACCAAGTGCTAGGTCTGCCCTGAGACCGGAGAGCTGAACAGCTCCTGTGCAGGCAGATCTCCTGTGCAGTGTCCACCTGTGCTTTCAGACACCACACGGGTGCTTCCCCTTCCCCAGAACTCCCACAGCAGCTGGGCTGCCTCCTGAGTCCCTTTTCCACAGGGTCCCAGGCAGGGTCCCCAAAGCTGGCTGCCCGTTTTGTGGCTGTGACTGTGGGCCATGTGGGCTGGGCCTGCTAACACTCTCTTTCATTGCTCTCTCCTGCCCATCTGCATGTGGCTGCTCTGTCTAGCTGCGCAGTGGTCCTGAGCGCCGGCTGTGTAAGTGAGCATGCCCATCCCATGCCTCTCGCAGTCCATGTGCTGTGCCTGGCTGCTTGGGTCTGCTTTGCATGGCTGTGTGGGGTTTGGTGCCACCAATGGCCCATAGTAAGGGGTAGGATGGGAGTAAGGGTCTGTGGGCACGGTTTCCTCTGGAGCAGTCTCTCCAGGCAGGCCTTGGGCATGACCAGGTAGAGGTGGGCTGGGTTCTAGCAGGTGAGGCTGGGAAGTGAGGTGCCATCTTCCTGTGCGCATGCCTGTGTGTCTGCATGTGTGCTGTCTCCCTGTCACTTCTGCTGCATGCCTGCGACCCCTATGGACACACTGCTGTTGTGCATTGTCTGTAGGAAGCTGCCTTCACACTGTGATGTGCAATGCTCACCCCTGCACGTGCTCTTTCCCGTGTGGGTGTGCGAGTTGTCTGGTGTCTCTTGACACCGGAGACCTGCTAAGTCATGTTACTCCTGGCCATTTTCATGGCCCAGCCTTCCTCCTGCCAGTCCCAGTCTCTGGGTCTTCTCCACAGCACAGAGCTGTGTGTGGGGAGCCAGGGAGGGTATTGCTGAATCTGACATCCAGGGAAGGTGTGGATGGGATCACACCTAGAACCTTCAGGGACCACACAGCCAGCCTCTGACCAGGGCTGCCTTTCCCCCTAGTGTGCTGCCCTTGGCAGCTCCACAGAGTGGCAGTCCACCAGTCCTCACATTCCAGCCAATCTAAGGGTCTACAGAGCAGGGTAGTACTGGCTTCGATCCAGGAGGCCAGAGGAGGGGGCCAGGGTGAACCTATGAGATCCTTCCACCCAGCTCCCATCCTCCTAGCCCCTTGCCCTGCTCCCCGATGCCCACCCCGCTTTATTTGGCCCCCCTCACCTGGCCCTGATCCCCTCTCCCTCCGCAGGCTCTTCAGCAGCCTCGGTGAGCTGAGCACCATCTCAGCGCAGCGCAGCCCTGGGGGCCCGGGCGCCGGGGCCTCCTACTCAGTTCGGCC